CACAGTCAAACCATCCTCCTAAGCCAGTCAAAATTAGGGTCTTGGTTCTTACAAGGAAGTTGAGGTTTTCAAGGGCTCAATCAAGTCCCATATGCCTATATACATTGTCAAGCATCCACATGTCAAGTTTCAAGGCTCACAAGGTCAAGTTGCACAGTCAAAAGCCCTATTTGCTTCACAGTCAACTGTAGGGGTAAAATGGTCATTTGGCAATCAAAAGTCAAAAATTTTGGTCAACATCTTATTTTGAAGCCACAATCATCATTTGATCAAGTCTTGATCATGATTCCACAAGAATGGCTCAAAAATCATCAAGATGCAAAAGTTTCCATTTTTGGACAGTTGAAAAGTCAACTGTAACTTGACCAAGGCATAACTTTTTCATGGTTCATCAGAAAAATCCCATCCAATGCTCATCTTGAAGGGGAGGACATTTCCTACAACTCATCTTCATATTCCAAGTCCAAGAAATTCTCTCACAAAAAGTTATCAATTTCAACATTATAGGTCATTTTCAAAAGTCAACAAAAAGGCATTTTAAGTCAAAGACCATAACTTGAGATTGGTAAATCAAAATGACATGGGACCAAAGGCATTGGTTAGAGGACTTCAAGACCTTTCCAAAATGTCCAAGAACATATTCATATGATCAAAATTGAGCAAGATATGCATTGGAGAAGTTGGGAAATTTTTGTGAAATGGCAAAAGTCAACTATCCTTGAAACTTCAATTTTTGGCAAAAGGGCCCACTTTCTTCCACTTGATTCAGCCTTGTCATGCCACCCACGTGTCCCATGATTAATTTCAAGACCAAACATTTATTTTTTTCATTTTTATTTAATTTTTATGGATTTAATTCATTTTAATCCATAATAATTCAAATAAAATCAAAAAATTAATTAAATGGCATCTTTGTGGTTTGAATGGCTTTCATACAACATATGCCAACTACCAAATTCGTGTAAGGCTATTTTGTGCACAAAATCATGGTTTTGCCTCAAACTTGGAAAGTCCTTTAATGGTGTTAAAGCAAAATCCAAAAACTTAATTGCAATGGATCCCAAGGTCATAATGTGACCTAAATGCATTCCCATACATATGCTGAACCAAAACCTAAGACATTTCACGTGCAAGCTGCTATCAAACACCATAGCCAAATTCCAAAAATTCAAAGAAAAAACCAAAAACTGTTTTTCATATTGCAGATCAATTCAAGGCCTTAGAGTGATTCCAATACATTGCTGGGACATTCAGGAACGCGTTGCAATCCAAAACAAGCCTTAAAGCTCCAGGAATCACCTCAAACAGTCACACGGTTTACCATTCTTTTCCATAATCGAAACTCAAGTTTTATGCATCATTAACATGTTTTGATTATTGCTTTGCATTGCTAACATCATTCTGAAGCTTTTGGTATTGATTAATTGCCTTATGGTGCCCTGAAACGCAAAACACCATTAATGAAATCTAGGGTTTCAGAGCTCTCAATTTAGGGCTTTACAGCATAAGCAAAATCAGAACCTCTCATGGCTATGGTTAAATTCGTCAGGATGAGACGAACACATTGATACCCTCACGCCCTTTTTATATGTGCTACACGTCTAATCTCTATTATTGGCATTTGCAGTTTGTGGGGTTTAAAAACCCCCACTATCTAACATGTTTTATGCAGGTTTCAGCGAAGGAGATGAAGACGTGTTGAGCTGTGGTTGGAGCATTCAAAAATAGCGCGCGCTTTTCTTTGTTTCCAGCCTATTAATTGTTTTCATATAATATAATTAATTGTTGTTGTATTATCAAAGCGCGTAGATTGGTGTAGTGGCAAGGGCGAACAAGCATTGAACATTGGGACCTGGGTTCGATTCCCAGGTCCACCCAAAAACTTGTTTCCATTTTTCTCAATGTATTCCTGTGCAGGCTTCTGAAGGTGGTACACCATGTGCCCTGACACTCCAGTATGCCAAGTGTCTACAAACAACAATCCAGTGGCCAGAAGATGAGGAACACCATATTCTCCAGTCAACGCTTGCACACTTGATTCTAGAAGTCAACAGGCTTGGCTTATTGGGCCTAAAATTTCCAGATCCACCTCCATTCTTGGGTCAACACCCCCATTGGTTTCTATTTATTTTTCTATTTTCCTTTTCTTTTTATTTTCTTTAGTAATTATTATTAGTATTACTTAATTAATCAATTAATTAACATTTTCACAATAAAATTCAGAAAACCAAAAAAAAAAACATTTTATTATTTATTAACTTATTTTGTAAATAAATGTAAATTAAATTAAATTAGTTTAATTAATTAACTTTAATACTTTTTTACAATAAATAAAAACAATTTAGAATTAGGTTTTTTTGCTAACTTTTAATTTATTTTCTCTTTATTTTCATTGAAAACACAAAAAACACAAAAATATTTTTTTAATAAATTAATTAATTAAGTTATTAGTTTTAATTTAAATTAATTGCCAAAAAGGGACAAAATTCAATTCTTTCTCAAAAAAGGGTCAAAACCCTTAAGACGTCCCGTTTCAATCTTTCGCGCGCGCGTTTATTTTTTAATTCATTATTATGTAACTGCTTCCGGAAATGTAATAGCTAATTAGGACCTCCTTTATCGCTTTATTTATTTTCTCGCAGTTTATTTTTTCCAAACGGGTTTGTTTTTGGCGATGTATAGACCCGCGCCTTGTAATAGCTAGATTTACATTTCCGCAATTTATTTTCCGCACTCCTAACTGTTAAAAATGCCTGCAAGAATGTATGACAAATAAAATCAATATGTAGCTCACAAATAACATGTACAAGATAAACATTAACATGAAACAACACACATGCACATGCCACTCCTAGGATACGCCTCACTGGTTCCTCGAACGTGGTCATCAAGTATAGGGTGTCTTAGAGGTCACCCTTCTGTCTAAAAGATCCAGTTGCCTCGAAACGGTTGCCTTGGATAAAAAGGATCTAGGACATTAGGGTTACCACTAAGGTGTCCTACCATTGCTTCGGTGACCACACTGTCCCTTATAATCGAATTGACCCGAACACCTCCAACGATGATGCTACCTACCTCTCAATGGTGGGATAGCATTATCTAAAGGACTCTTACACAGCCTAATTCCTTAGAGTAGGTAGATTCTCCTGGGTACTTGCTCTTTTCAAACAAACAAAATAACTTTTTGCACTCACACTTTCTAAAAGTTTTCAAACAAATTTTTCATACACTCTTGAGGACAGATACAAGAGTTACTTAGAAATTTTTCAAACGAAACTTTTTCAAAACCCATACACACTTGAAAAGCGAACAGATTTTGAAAACATAAGAGCAAGTACCTAAGAGCCCGTGGATAACCACGGATAGAAAGGGTGCTAATACCTTCCATTTCTATAAATCTACCTCCCGAACCGAGAAACATTCTCAAAGAAGGAATTTTGTTGTACTTTTGTCCTTTCCATGTTGGAGAACATAAAATACGGTGGCGACTCTTGCTTACCGCGACATTTCGCGAACCAGCTTAAAAAACAGTCAGTTCTATTTCCACCGATCACAGGTTTCATCTTTCATGTTGTTAATTTTTCCAGTATACATAGATTGAACTGTTTACCAAAAGTAAATTTTTATGTTATGTAGTTATGACTGATTGTGGAAAGCTTCCACTAGCTCTTAAAGTGATCGGAGCTTCATTTTCAAAATTAGAATGAATTGTATTGCGATAAAATAAGGCTTTCTCAAGGCTTAAGCATCGCCGAATCCGATGAACTTGATCTGACGGATAGAATGACAATTAGTACTAATTACTTACCTGAAGAGATCAAAGAGTGCTTCTTGGACCTATGTCCATTTTCTGAAGATAACAACATTCCTCTAGAAGTTCTAATCAATACGTGGGTTTAAATTCTCGACATTAATGAAAAAGAAGCATATGCTATTGTGGTTGAGATTTTGAACAGGAATCTCCTCACTTTAGCGAAAGAAGCATCGTATGCAACTTTGAAAAATGAATTTGTGTTTTACGTATTGATATATAACAATTTATTATGAACATGAAGTAGAAATTAATTATCATGTATGCTTGATAACTTGATAAATTGTATGTAGACATTTCATTTTGGCATTAATGGTTGAATGAGTGATCGATGTATATACCAATGAGTTCTAACCTTAATAAGTGTTATATTTTTTAAAATTATGACAATGCAGATAAACTGTTTCCTATAGTAAATAAAAACTCTGTTAAACTTGCACATTTTGGCCTTGCAAGGGAAGAATCAGTGACTAAAATGATGACTGTAGAAACCATAACTTACTGATGGATGGTAATAGTGGTATGCCGTTTTTTTAGAATGTAATTTTATTGATTCATTGATAACTATCCAAAAATGTGAATCAGAGGGTCCAATAACTATGTCAATTTTCGATGCTTATAATGTAACATTTAGCAATATCTCGTATGTATCATTTATCTCTGTATCCTCAAATTACTTGTATTTCAGTTTTCATCTCTCTCTAACAAAATACGTTGTTCCTACTTGCTGGTCGGGCAGGGAGGCTACCTGCAAATGACACTATGATGTTAATTCAACCACAATATAAGAGTATTTTAAATAAGGAGTCCAAGATCCTTATATTTTGGGAAACCCAGTATGTCGCCAACCAGAGGATGACCTCCATTAGTAATTATGTTATTCAATTGACACTGTTCTAATTGAATTATAATAGTTTAATGGTAAATACATCATAATCCTTCTTCCAACATCAGTGTTTCGACAGACATAAAAACATACCCATGAACCAAACATGTCGTGTAATCAAATATGCGTTCAATGTTGGAGGAAGAATCATTATGTATTAAACCCAAATATATTTAAAATTGAATTTGGAATGTGTCTATTTAATGATGAAAGGTAGCGTCAAATTAGAGTAGTGTTGTCCATGGGGGAGAGCTAAAATCTAGTAATTGTGGACTGAGAAGTTTTGAATTAGATTGCAGGTGGATGAATTACCTGCCACAAGCAAAAGACTTAAATTATCTTTGTGATCAGTCAGTTACTACATATAGAGACCTTTCAGTCTTATGCAATTTTGTCAGCTGCTTACTCTTCCCAGCTCTTAGGTGAGCTCTTAAATGGCCATACCTTTCAATTACTCTAATTTAGGAATTTTAGTTATTCAAATTTATCGCATGATTATTACACTGATTTATGTACAAATTGCAAAAACTTTTCATTTCAGTAGTTCAACTATAACAAAATGGTAACTGAAAAAGCACATTTTTTTGAATTCCCAAGTACTTCCTGAATGAACAGTAGCACCTTTTTCTCCTTGCTTAGCTGTTTCTCATAATCTCAATTTCAAAATTCAACCTCTCTCTCTCTCTCTCTCTCTCCCTCCCCTCCCCCTCTCCCCCTCTCTCTCTCTCCCCATCCCCTCCCCCTCCCCCCCCCCCCTCTCTCTCTCTCTCTCTCTCTCTCTCTCTCTCTCTCTCTTTATATATATATATATATATATATATATATATATTTATATATATATATATATATATATATATATATATATATATATATATATATATCCTTCTCTCTCTCTCTCTCTCTCTCTCTCTCTCTCTCTCTCTCTCTCTCTCTCTCTCTCTCTCTCTCTCTCTCTCTCTCCTTCTCTCTCTCTCTCTCTCTCTCTCTCTCTCTCTCTCTAACTATTTCACTATTCTTTTTCCTTCTTCCTCTGCTTCTTTACAAACCGTCTTTAGTGACTGTAGCAACTGAAAATATCATAAAAAACATTGAGTTCTTTAACAACGGTTGAAGTCTAGCCGAAGAAAATATCAGAAATAATTTAGATTTTATGATGTTGTTGTTGGTTGATGGTGTTTTTGAGGATGTTATAAATGATTTTTTTCAAGGGCAATTTGAGATAAAGAGAAGCTTCGATGAGTTTAATGACGAAGTTGTAACTCCACCATCAACTGTTGTATTTTTGTAACTGCTTATTGTTTAATAAAATTTTAACGTTTTAAAAATATTTATTTAACTCTTTCACAAGCAATATTTGGAAAACATCTTTAATTGCAAATCTCTCTACAAACAATTTAGGTTAAAATGTATTCAACATTTAGGGTTTACATATTTTGGTTTTCATTTATACCATCTTTGGTTTACATATTTTGGGTTTGCATAATGTTATGTTTGAATATCATGACTTACAGAATTCAGATCCATTTGCAGTTACATGGGTTTTCCTGCTTTTTCACGGTGATGTGCGATTTCGCGGTGGTAGATCTTCTGTAAAGCTCTAAGCTTTCTGTATGTATTTTGTGTGTATATTAATTGGTATTTTATAAATGCAAATTTTAGGGTTTCTTTTCCATAGATATATGTGCAGATTTTAGGGTTTCATACACCAGAAACTAGGATGGTAAAAAATCTGTGTATGATGAAGAAGTGATTGTTGACAAAATTAAGGTACTCACGGATTCTGGTCAATGAACGTTCGATTAAACTTTATTCAATTCAATTATTTTTCATGTTTTTTTTCAACGTTTTGAATTAAAATTTGAAGTGTTTTCAAATTTCATGTGTATATTTTGTTGCAGAAAACTATTGGAGTATATTTCGATGACACTATTGGATAACACCAATTTCCATGTCACTATCTACAAGCACGATTTCATCGTCGCCGAGTTCTATGCCCTCCACTATATTTCGATTATGCTAATTTTTACATAAACACTCGATTCATCATTTTCTCTCTCGTCTGATATACTTGCTATTACATTTTTCTATATCTAAATTTTGATCATGCTTATATTGATTCCCATAATTTATTTTCATTTTCAGCTTATATTTGTTCAAAAGTTCTACGATTATGCAAATGCAAAGGCCGAGGTTCGTTCATGTTGATTTCTGCAGTACGAAAAAGCTGCTTCTATCTTGAGCTGTCTTGAAACTCCAATTGTTTTTTTTTACAAAAGTTGATGCCAATGAGGAGAAGAATAAGGATATGAAGTTAAGGGATTCCCAACAATTAAGATTATGAGTGTGATACGGTGGGAGAACTGACTTGAGTTTTGCGTTTGTATTCGCAAATGTTGCGGTTAGCAAGAGTCGCCACCGACTTTTTATTTTATCCTAAGGAAAGGTTAAAAAGCACAGCAAAAACCTTTTGAGATGTTTTCTTGGGTTCGGGGAGTAGATTATAGAAAGGGAAGGTATTAGCACCCTTTCTATCCATGGTTATCCATGGGCTCTTAGTTACTTGCTTAGATCACTTGCCTTTTGTTTTCAATTGTTTTAAATGGTGCTTGAGTGTGTGGGTTTTGAAAATGTTTTTGAAAAGAGGCCAATGTGGTGGCAACCTTTGTAATGATCCATGTGGGGATGTATACAAAGATGTATGTCTTTTGAAAAAAAGTTTTCATTTTGTTTTGAAAGTTTTGTTTTGAAAGTGTTGTGAGGTGTGATTTTGAAATTAGGCAAGTGTTTTGTTTTTGCAAGTTGATTCAAGTAACTAAGAGGTTATCTACTCCTAAATTTCTCAAAAGATCATTGCTATACTTTTAACCCTTTTAACAAGTTTGCTCCACCATTGTATTTGGTGGGCAACCTTGTGTTAGGATGTGAAAGGGACGGGCGCGGGTCATCGTTTAGACCATGATTGCAATGGTGCCAAGTGTCTTTGGGCATTTTTTCTTTAAGGGACTTGATCATTTTTTAGGCGACTTTCGAAAGCGTCATCGAGGGACTATGATCATTTGATATTGTTTTGTTTTGCCAAAGACACCTAACATGCAATATGGCCCATTATTGAAGGCAACAAGTGGAATACCCTAGGGGGTGCAAGTGTGATTTGTGTGTCCATTTTCATGCTTGTTTATCTTGTATTAGGTCAAACTATTTTTTATCGTTTTTTGCATACAAACCCTAATTCTAACATGTTATCATTAGAAAGCGATAAAGTGCGAAATTAAAATTACTAAGCTATTACAAAACCAAATATGGGAAGGGGGGTACAAATGTTCAAATGGGGGATATTGACAAGAATTTAAATCTAAATTATTACATCAATTGAATATTTGCAATTTAAATAATACATATTTAAATGGAAATTAAATAAATATGTGAAATGCAAAAAGAAAGTTTTTTTTTTTATGTGTATGAGAAAATATTATTTATGTAAAAGGAAAAAAGAAAATAAAAATATATTATTTTTTTGAATATTTTGAATTTAGGGCAAAAACCCTAATTTTAAAGAAAAGGTATTATTTTCTAATTTAATTCAACTATTTATTTATTATGTACAAAAATAAAATAAAATGAAGTGTATTGTGAAAAAAGGTATTTTTATATCAAATATTAATAAAATGAAAAAAATCAAGTATTTTTTTATATTTTTGTCTTAAATATATTAATAATCACATATATATATATATATATATAACCCTAAGTATGTATTATTCTAAAAATAAATATTTATTTAATATTTTAATAAAATAAATAAAAGAGTATTTTTTGTGTGAAATATTTTCAGAGAGTAAATAAAAAATAAAAATTGTATTTACATTATTTCTTATTTATTCTAATAATAATACATATATATATATATTTATGTATAAACAAAGAAATAAATCAAATAAATATGCAATAAATGCAAAAAATAATGAAAAAAAATATTTTTAATTTTTTAATGGCATGAGAAAAAATAAACAAAGTCAGCAAAAAAGGAAAAAGTCAAAAATGTTAAAAAATGAGTAAATGGGCTCAGGGGGGTGTGAGCCAAAAAAGATGGTGTGAAAAGAAAGAACACAAAAGCCCAGCCCAATGAAACACTGTCTTCAACCTCCAGCACAAAACATTTGAAAAACGCGCGCCATGTTCAACTTCTTCTAACTCTTGATTCCTTGATTTTTTGAACAAACTTCCAACACAAAAGATGTTAAGCATGAAGAGACGGTTCTAACCATATAAAGAACTTGACCTATCTCTCTAAGATGAGGGAGAATTTCTCTCCCCCTCTTTTCTGACCTAGTTTTTCTACCATTTTCAAAGCTTAAATTCTCTCTACTCAGGCAAAAGAAATGAAATGTAAAGATATGTACATGTTCAGGGCTATGAGTAGGACCTTGTTTCTTCACAAACTTAAGACTAAAGATGCCTAATAAGAGAGATACGAATTCAAACTTTTACCTGTGCAGTTGAACTTCAATCTGGAGAATGAGGAACTTTCAGTGCAAGGTGATGATTGGAAAAGCTTCCTTGAGGTCCAGGGATGTTGTTTCAATGCTTACTTTGTCTTGAGAGCTTCTGAATCAAGCTATGGAACTTCAACTGCAAAAGGAAAAAATGAAAATGGTGGAAACTGTTAGAGTGATTACAGGTCAGGTTTTAGGCCATGGTTAGCTTGCATATGTTGTAGGGAAGGTAGAGGAACAGGTCTTGATCAAAATGCTCGAAGGGATTGGGAGTTTGCACTCAAACTGCAGGGGCACCCCTGTTTGTGCAGTTTGAGGATGATTCTGAGATGGAGGGTGTATTGGAGGTCAAAAGCTCGTGTGTTAGCTTGGATATGTTATGTGTGATGTGTTTGACAACTTTGTTCTTGTGTTTCTAAGCTGAAGAGAGAGTTGGCATGAGTTATGGATGTTTCTTCTATGTGAAGCAAAGAAATGCAAGTTGATGTTCTAGGCATGTAGGGGACCTCCTAATGGGCTGCATAATCTTCTCTTGATCAGAGCAATTTGTCCATAATCTTGTGCCATTCAGATTTAGCTTGTACTTGTTTGATTTTCAAATTGACATAAAGTGAACTTTTGCAAAAATGGATAGTTTATTTTATCTAATTTAGGATTAAACCATTAGACAAAGCTTGAACTCAAAGAACTTGGTCTTAGTACAAAGAATATGCATTAAATTATTGAGTATGGATTGGTTCAAGGACCTGTAATTAAGCATAAAGCAAACTGGATTCAAATTTGCAAGTTTGTGAACATGTCTTGATGAAGAACAAAAGTGAATTTTTGCCAACTTGTGAAATTCGAATCTCTCAAGTTATGAGGTTGTTTGATGAGTTCTTGGACATTTTGGAAAGCTTGGAATGTGTACTACAATCCATCTTTGAAATGCAAATCAAAATTCCAAGTGGAAGGATATGAAAAGTGGCCTTGAAGTAGGGTAGAAAACCTTGTCAAAATAGGTCAAATTTCACTAAGTTAAAAGATGGTTTAGTGCCCTTATTCAAAAAATCATAACTTGAGATACAAGCTTCAAATGAGAAAACTTTGTGAATCAAAGTTGCAGATTATGCAACAAGCTACAACTTTCATGTTTTGACTTTGGTTTGAATCCAAATGGATCATGGTGAAAAGATGGGGCAAAGTTGGGAAAAAATTAGGGTTTTCCATAACTTAGAAAAATTCTAAGTTATGAAAAATTCCATTTTCAAACCCTAATTTGCATTTTGAGATTTCTTGGTGAACAAGTTTCATGATTTGGCATGTTTTGATGAAAAATGAATCTTGACTCTTGATTTTGACCAAAAAGTCAAAGTTTGACTTTTCAGTATACAGTCAAAATTGATCAATTGACTGGGAAATTCAACTGTCAATCTTGTGTACTTGGGATCTTTTGAGCTTGATGAACATGTCAAGATAATTCCATGGGGTCCTTGAGTCCATATGTGAGCTTGGTTTGCCATTGGCTAGGTCAAACAGTCAAAAATTGCCTTTGTGCAGTCAAAACCCTAGAAATGACCATTTTGCCCTTTTGATGATCTGATCAAATTTCTTGTGGAATTGTGATCCAAACTTGATCAAATGGTCCATGTGAGTTCATAATGTTGATGTGGATCAAATTTCATGAGGTTTGACTGTCAATTGGCCACAGTTGACTTTTTCCCCAATACAGCTGATTTCTAGGTCAACTGTCCAATTGACTGGGTAAAACTTGGAATCAAGACTTGAAACTTGGTATAGGTAAACCTGGGAGTTCAACATGAAGCATGAAAGTCATCTTAGGCATTTTAGGTCAAAACATCTTTGTGCAAACACCAACCCTAATTTGAGTCCACAGTGCAAGGAGAAGTCTTGAGCAGAGGAAACCCTAATTGTATCTTGATCTTCAAATGTCTTGTGATGAGAAAATGTTGAGGAAATGGGAGGGCAAATTTTGGGGTACAACAGTTGCCCCTGTTCAATCTTCTTGGACCTGATGAGTTAGATTGGCAAGTTTGCCTTTCGTGACTCGAGGGTAAAAGGAGATTGGATACTAGAGTGCCCGGAAATTTGCACTCGCATGTTGAAGTATCAATAATGTGATGTCAGGAATGGGCTTACAGATGCCATTTGGAGAGATGGTGGATAGGGTGATGGGCTTACAGATGCCATCTGGAGCAGTGACAGAACTTTGACGGGAATGGGCTTATTGATGCCATTTGGAAGTGTTGATCGCATAAGAGATTCCTTAGCGAGAACTTGTGTATTTGAGAAGGAAGGATGTTTTCCTGGCTTTTTACAGGTGTTTGATCTTCAATCTCCTTATGCAGATATGTCCTGGCTAGATACAGGAATTGAGTCTACAATCGGTTGCTCACAGATGTGCCCTGGCTGGATACAGGAGTCGAATCTGGGAATAGTCGTCA